ACATGGGGAAGAATGAAACTAGAACCTTGTCTCTCACTGTACACAAAAATTAACTCAAAATGGCTGGAGATTCAGCTCAGTGGTTCTGCCGCCTGCCTCGCAAGCGCAAGGTCCAGAGTTCGATCCCCAGCACCAAAAAAAAAAAAATTACCTCAAAATGTATTAAAGAATTAAGTATAAGGTTTGAATCTATGAAACTATTAGGATAAAACATTGGGCACTGGAAGGGGCAAGGAGTTTCTGAACAAGAACCTAAAAGCACAAGAAACAAACCCATAAGCAGACACATGGGATTACATTAAACTAAAAAGGTTCTTCATAGCAAAGAAAACAATCAACAGAGAGAAGAGATAACCTACACAAAGAAAATATTTGCAAATTATACATTTGACAAGCAGATATCCAGAAGATATAAGTAACTCCAAAAACTCAATAGTGAAATAATAACAATAATCTGATTTTAAAATGGATAACAGGCCTAATAGACATTTCTCAAAATAAGATATACAAATAGCCAATAAGATGCAAAAAATGTTCAATATCACTAATCATCATGGAACTTCAAATCAAAACAAAAAATTTGGTGTCATGTCACCCCAGTAAGAATGGTTTTTCCAAAAAGACTAAAGAGGGCCGGGGATTTAGCTCAGTGGTGCCGCAACCTGCCTCACAAGCGCAAGGTCCTGAGTTTGATCTCCCGTACCAAAAAAAAAAAAAAAGACTAAAGAAACATGCTGGTAGGATGTAGAGAAAAGGAAACTCTTGCACACTACTAATGAGAATATAAATTACTATGGCCATTATGGAAAACAGTACGGATTTTCCTCAAAACTTTAAAAATAAAATCAACAAATGATTTCACTATCTCATTTCTATGAAAAGCTCAGGACCTGGGAACTTCACAGCTGATTTCTACCAAACACTTAAAAAACTGAAAGCCAGATCTTAAGACATGTTTGCACACTTATGTTCAACACAGCATTAGTCACAATAGCCAAGAGGTGGGAACAACCTGAATGTCTACTGACAGATGAATAGATACAGAATATATAGGCCATACATAGAAGAGAACTTCATGCAGCCTTAAAAAGGAAGTCACATGCTATAATATAGTTGAATGCCGAGTATTGTACATTGAGTGAAATAAACCAGTCACAAAAGGCCAAATACTGTATGAGTTCACTTACATGATGCATGTAAAATAGTTAAAATCACAGAAACAGAAAATAGGAAAGTAGCTTCCAAGGGTTGGGCTTGGTAAAGGAATTAGTGAGTATACAGTCTCAATGTTAGAAATCTATAAATTTGTTGTGCAAAAATATGAATATATTTAACATTATTGCAAGATACACATGAAAATGGTTGTTAGTAAATTTAATATTGATTTTTTTTACAATAAAAAGTCTTGAAAAGAGTTTAACTGGCTAATTTTATTTTATATATATATTTGCCACATTAAATCAGAAAAATACATATCTAAGATGAAGATATATAGATTATTTCTAAGTAGCATGCACAAGGACTATGTTACCAACATGCACATACGGTAATAGAGAAAATTACCAAGAAATACGGTTAAGGCAGAAAAGGGCATAAAAATTTTTATTTTCTTTTTATAAAGGAAAAGAGTGGGACAGAGTATATATGTGTATCTATATACTGATATCTAACTATTTCACATCCACAAACTTGGAAAGAATTTGAAAGTCTGACATTAACAATGCTGGCAAAATGTAGACCAACAGAAATGCTCATATCTCACTGATGATACAATCACCCAATGGTGCAACTTCTTTGAAAAGCAATTTGGCAATTCCAGAAAACATTCACAGATCTGTCTGGCCAGCAATCTTGGTTACTGCTCTCCAAAGGAGATACCACTTTGATGGGATGCTCTGTGTTGTATGATACCAGATGGGATCTGTTGAATATGGTTGGTGTGATTAAGAAATGAAATTAATTTTATATAATTTAGTATGAAACAAATAGCCATATGTGAATGGTAATTACTACATCAGCACAGTTGAGATAGGAGATTAGGGCATGGCAAAGCTGTCTGGGGAAGTAGATGAGACCTGTTAATCATAATGACCTCCCAGCACATGTGCAGAACAGTTCCCAAAGCCCTGCATGTGGACTTCTGGCGAGAACTCGAGCATGTTTTCAATAGGATGACCTAGATCTGACATTGACCAAGGCATGGGATCCCAGCACTGCTTCTCAGAACTTTTATGTAGAAATTCTCAAGGGTTTCCTCAAGATTTGGACAGTATAAAGAACACACAAGAAGAACTTGCTATCTTGGCTTTTCCTTACAATAGCCGGCCCTGCTTTCTCCAGGCTGTTCTTTTATCTTGCTTTTTCCTCTTTTACTCAGCTCAAACTCGCTCTGCAGAACCAGTTTCTACCCCACTCTTCACTTTTACTTTCTTGAATAAACTTGGCCACTGCTTTTCGCTCATTTTGTTCAATTCTTTGTTCAAGATGAGAACCTGGACTCTAACTCCTGAGGGAGAGGCAAGCAACCCAGAACCCTGTAACGTTTAGTTGGTGGCACTTTTAGAAGCAGGATATCTGATAACACAGTCACAGAACACAAACAGGCACAACAAGACATCAGCAGAACATTCATCTCAGCCTTGTTCAGAGTAGTAAAGATCTGGAATCTGGTAATAGAAACATGAATTTTTTCCCCCTGCAATACTAGGGGTTGAACTGAGGATCTCTGCACTGAGCTACATACTAAAGCACCCTTATTTCTATTATATGTCCTTCTGTGGCTAGTAGTCTCCATTTCGTTGGTGCTACAAGGTTGTTTCTTGCCTCCAGGATGGAACCACTTCTCATGCTCACGTTTGTCTTTGACCCAGTTAAACACCTCCCTTCCCCCTTCCCATGCCCTTTGACCCAGTTGGCTCTCCTGTTTCTTTCAACACCCCCCCCCACCCTCACCCCAGCAGTCACACCCTGCAGCTTCTCTGACAGTTCCTAATTATCTCCACAAGACTATAGTTAATCCTTTCCCTGCAAAACCTATGTCATGCCTCCTCAGGCTTCTCTCATAATTTTTACAGGACCACATTCAAGATGTTGATTCTGGCCACTCCTCAATATACTCCCATTTCCCAAGATCTCTCTTCCATGTAGGCTGCCCATGCTGCCCATTTGTCATGCTCAAAGCAGTCATGAGAAACATTGCCCATTTTCCTGCCTCTCCCTGTGTAACAACAAAAAGTCAGGAAAGTCATGCCTGGCCTGAATGAGGCCCTCTGAACAAACATGCAGTCTTCAGCAAACAGTAGGAAAGGGCCATGCTATGCTCAACAAACAGAATGGATGAACATAAAATTTAGGACGGGATATACCATCTCCCGGGCACCAAGGAGTCCAGTTTTATATGCACACCTGCACTGACTGTCCTTGGACCCTCAATCATTAACATTCCACTCCAGATTCCTTAGCCCTTCCCAAACCTTATAAGAACCTAATTTCCCTCCTCATTGGATTATGAAATCTTCCCCAATTTCAGTCTTTGTTCACAACTGGACGGAATAAAGCTTTTACTGCTCATACCAAAGACTGTGGCCTCTTGCGTGCTATTTGTAACACATATCCAGACTTTTTTACTTTATTTTATTTTTTATTTTGAGACAGAGTATTGCTAAATTGCTATGTTACCAAGGCTAGGCTTGAACTTGTGATCCTCCTGCCTCAGCCTCCCAAAGTGCTACAATTACAGGCACATGCCACCATGTGTGGCTGAAAAGTAGTTTTTTAATATCATGCAGTATTTATGTATTTATCAACAGAGAAAATGAACCGCAGCTACATGTAGTAATGGAGATAAATTATTAAGTAACAGTAAGGGAAAAGGTGAGATATATGTGCGAGACATCAAAGCATTCTAAAAAGTATAAAAGCAAATAAAAATGGTACTATGTATTACCTAGGAATATATGCATATCAGTAGAAGCAAATCATCACCTTAAAACTGCACTCTATAATAAACACTCAAGAACAGTGATTAGAGGTCCTATCAGTACAATTAGAAACAGGGAAGTTGAGTTAGCCACTCCCTTCCCTTCATTCAACTGTAAACACCACCATAATGATCACCCATGCTTCCACTGTCCTAAAAGTGGTACAAAATGGGATAACAAGAGTTTAGGAGATCACTGACACCAGTTAGGAGAGGCAGTGGGAGGCACCTGCAGTAGAGGTATCTGACTGTAAATACTGGAAGCCTGAGCTATTGGGCTCCCTTTTTGTCCTTTTGCCTGTTCCTGCTGCTACTGTCCTGTGATCTTCAGTAAACACAGCTACTTTACTGTTTACTACGAGGTGTATGTCTGGGAATTCTTTCCTTATCATACAGAAGAACTTGGACTATTTTTGGCCCATTCAACTGTAACACAATTGCTGAGACAATTAGGCCTTTTCAGGAGCTCAGTACCAGGTCTTGGGAACATGTGCTAGGGAAGCCAGATATTGAAACCAGAAAGACAGCAAGTAGACAAAAAAAATAGTGATCACCTAGCTCCCACGTCATTTCCCAATCTTGGTTTCAAGGCAAGGCATGTTTAATGTCCAGATCCTCTGAGCCAAGGACTCTGCTGGTATTCCTTTAACTCAAGGACCACCTAGAATGCCCTCAAATATTAAAAAACTATCTATGTTCACATTAGTTCTATGTAACCCGTTTATTTTGGTACCAGGGATCGAACTCAGGTCCTTGCGCTTGCAGGGCAGGTGGCAAAAACAATGAGCTAAATTTCTGGCCCTATGTAACTCTTTTTTAATTTTTTTTTTTTCTAGTGCTAGAGGTTGAACTCAGAGCCTGGTGCATGTTAGGCAAGCACTCCACCACTGGTCTACAACCCAGCCCTTTTTTAAATTTTTTAACATGCAATACTTTAACACAGTAAAGAAAATAATTTTTCATTTTAAGCTTATGATTTCTGTAGGAGGAGTACTGGAGAAATATGTCGAGGAGCACTTACCGGCTGTTGAGGAGCACCCACTGGCTGTCGAGGAGCACTTACCAGCTGTCTAGGAGCACCCACTGGCTGTCCAGGGGCACCCATTGGCTGTCGAGGAGCATTCACCGACTGTCTAGAAACACTAGCTTGATTTTTGCCATCAGACCTGAAAGATATGATTATTTTTGAGCTAACCTAAGATTAAAATACTTCCAAATTACACATCACATGAATTTTTCTTTTTCCTAACACAGGATAATAATTTAGGTAGTGGTGGTGACAATGCCAACCACAAGAGCTGAAGTCTTTAGGGATTTTTATCAGCTTCCACACATGATTAATCCTTATCATACTAAAAAGTATTACTAACCATGTTTTATAACTAAAAAGCTGAAAACTAAGAAATTATGTAATTTGATCAATTAGGCCAGTATACCCTAATATTTCTTCTCAAATCTCCTATAATCACAGAAGAGTTAAAAACATATTCTCAGACTACACATACAGTATCTGAAGTAGTCACTAAAAAATTAGGAAGTACAGGGTTATAAAATAAGGTTGCTTAGAAAAACATCAGCTAGGGCCGGGGATTTAGCTCAGAGGAACTGTGCCTGCCTAGCAAGCCCAAGGTCCTGAGTTTGATCCCTAGTACCAAAAAAGAAAGACATCAGCTATATGTTAGACATCGAGGTGCCAGTGAGTCAGCTAGGGAAAAATTTGGCACTGTCTGCATAGACTGGTCAGTCAGAACTCTAACAGGCAGTAAGAGAAAGAGTAGGAAGATAAATTTGTTTAGAAAACACTAGAAATTAAAGCAAACATCAAGACACTCTGGAAAATTATTATGTAAAGAGATGAGAGGCACCAATGAAGCAAAGATGAGCAATCAAGACTAGCGATGGGCATTTGGAAATCATCATCATAATAACTACTTATTAAGTAATTACAATGAGTGGGTTTTATTTACTAATATTTCCTCATTTAATTCTTACAAAAACATTCCCATTTTATAGAAAATAAACCAAGGCTCAGAGAGCTTTATTTATAGTTTCAGTTCATAATTCCACCAAAGGAGAAACCTAAAACTTGAATCCAGATCTGATTACAAGCTCTATGCTAAAAAACTACATTTGGACACCAACTCATTAGAAGTGATTACCGAAAGAGTTTTATGAGAGCTCAACACACAGACTAGCAATGTCAGGTGTCAGAGTTACGACATGCTTAACAATCTTCTACCAAAACTCATAGCTTAAAGTCTATTTAAAAAACTGAGAATTGAAAGCCTTCCTCCATAAGAACTGAAACAAGAGGGCCAGGGATTTAGCTCAGTGGCGCCACACCTGCCTCACAAGTGCAAGGTCCTAAGTTTGATCCCCCGTACCAAAAAAAAAAGAACTGAAACAAGAAAAATTTTAACATTTGCATGTTTTTTTACCCTATATTTTAATTTCTAATTAAAGAAACCAGGTATCACATCCTGAAATTCTACTTACCCCACTCTCACAAATCAGCATTAAACAAATGAAACCACAAGGGCATTGTCAGCAGCATACAGCACAATCATTTCCATACCTTTAAACCCATGATTCTCACAGCAAAGGAACAGAGAAATAGCTTAGAACCCAATTTTTAAAAGACTGACAACTCCTATGATAGGACTAACACCATCAGTAATTGCTCTAAATTACTTAATAGAAATTAAAAAGCCAAAATCTAAGTACTCATACATTTGTGATCTCTTCTTTCTGAAGTACATTTTCCGTAGTTCATCTCTCTTGATGAAGAGAAAAGTAGCAAGCACAATAAGTGGAACAACCAAGAAGAAGAACACCAGAAGTCCATCCCTCAATGTAGTGCTCTTTTCTAGAGAGATGAAAAGTATTTTAATGGCCATTAAACTAAGTGTTAACTCATCCTACCCAGAACATATCAGGTGGTTATAAATGTTTTACATTAAACTTGAGACACTTCTAAGTAAATGGACACACCTAGAGACCATACTCTTTAAGTGAAATAAATTGGACCCACATGTGTAAATATTGCATTGTTTCTCTGACGCGAGAAACCGAAAGTGTAAATAAGGAAAATAATAATAATAATAATAATAATAATAATAGATACTGTTGAAGAAAATATTCAAATGGGAAGGGGAACTAGGGAGGGGGGAGGGGAAAAGGAAGGAAGGGAAAAGAAAAACAGGAATAGAAGAAAAAATGGAAACAAAGCTTTTGTGAATGAGGAGAAGAGGGATTGATGGGAGGGGAATGGGGAAAAAGAATAATAATCAAGATATATCATGTACAGGTACAAATTCCCTATGATAAATGTGACCATTGTGTATATCTAAAATGTGCCAATAAAATTAATTTTAAAAAATCAAATTGATATAAACTGAACAGATTGAGGAGTCTTGCTCATACTCCATCCCTATCCACTTCATTTTTGTCTTCCCAAATGTAACTGCTCTTATTCATATCTTATTTAAACTTACAGTATTTATTTTCACACATATACAAGCAAGGCCAAATTGTTAACCCTTTCTTACACAAAAAGTAACATACAATAAACACTGTTTAGGAGATCACTTTTTTCATTTATCTACATACCATTCTAAAACATACATAAAGAGCCTCTTCATTTTCTGCATAAGATTCCATTGTGAGGATGTTCTACTCATACTTTGATTTTTCCAGTCTTTTGCTATTGCAAAAAATGTTACAACGTCTCATTATATAGGTTGAGGCATAGCTACAGAATAATTTCCCAAAAGCCAACTTGCTCTATCGAAGGGCAAATGCAGTCACCACAACTTAGCAACCCATAAATATGTAATAATTTCTCACAGCCTCCCCCAGAGCCAAAATTTTAGACTTTTGCCAACCTGATTAGTGAAAAATTGTATCTCACACAATTTTAAATTACATTTCTTTTTTATACTGAGTTGTGCACTTTTTGTGTTTAAGGCAATATTGTTATTTCCTTTTTGTGGTCAGTCTTTTGACTAATTTTCTACAAGAGTTTTTAATTCTTTTTTTCCTTTTTAATTTCTAAAAGTGCTTTATATCTATTTTAAAAATCAGCTTTTTCAGTGATGTATGATGGAAATATTTTCCCCATTTTGTCATTTGTTTATGGTACAATGCTTTTCTCTGTGCAAAAGTTTATTATTTTTGTATAGCTGAATTTATCACTGTTATTTCTCATGGGTTATAGAATTTGAGTTTCATTATAGCTTTTGAAAAAAATCATTAGCCAGGTGCAGTGGTTCATGCTTGTAGCACTCCGGGAGGCTGAGCCGGGAGGATCACAAGCAGGAGGATCACAAGTTCGACCTCAGCCTGCACTGTTTAGTGATTTAGCAAGATCCCATCTCAAGCTCAGTGTAAAGGTCCTACATTCAATTCCCAGTTCCACACATACAAAAATGATCATTAATTATGGCTTGGAATATAGCTCAGTGGTAGAGTCCTCAGCTACAGTGCACAAGCCCTGGGTTTGATCCCGTGCACTGAAAAAATTTCATTAATTAATAATTTGTTCTGTGTTCTTTAAAGAAACAATACAGTAATGTAAAAAGGGAATGCTAAACTCTGAAATTCTCATGATTCTAATTTTGTAAAAGTACTACAAATTTCTGTAAAAAGTTATATAAAAACATATGTGGAAACATTCACCCCAATTAAATATCGCAACATAAAAATCACAGCAAGCTTAATATTTCACTTTATATTTAGTAATGACTAGACAAAATTAAAATGAAGGCATACAACACTGTCAATATTATGTTGAAATTGATACTTTTATATTGTTTGGTATCATTAATTTAGAATTTTTATCAATAATCATAAAAAGGATTATACCTTCAATCTAATAATTCCATTACTTGCAATTTATTCACCTGAAAAAAATTCATATGCCTTAAGATGTATACTATAATGTTAACAGAGCATATCAAGAACTTAGAAACAACCTAAATGTCAAATAATCAGAAACAGCTAAGGCAAGTTACAGCATACTTCTACATGGTCATTAAAATCCACAAGTCTGCTTTCATGTCTAGCCATCATGGGACTAAAACTAGATCTGTCAATTAACCCAAATGGCTCAAACAATCAGACAAAATATATGAAACAACAGTTTTCAAGATCCTGGCACCAGCAATGAGGAATTAATGATCCCTAAGAGAGAAACTTTACACCTGCCCCAGTTCACTACCTAGAGAAAGTTAACAGAGCATAGGAGGGTGGGATAACATAAGCAAAGGCCAGTGGTCTCCCTGAGAGGACAGATGGAGCAGGCATTCTGGAGAACCTAAGGAAACTGGAGTGCACTGGACAAAGTGACAGAACAAAAAGAGGTACAGAGAGAATCTGAAAACCTGCAATGGGTTCCCCTCAAAACTCAACTGGACACTGATCAATGGTTCCATTTTGGGAATCTATCAAAGGCTAGAGGAAAAAACCAAGTGAGGGCATTAGTGAGTAAAATTTCTGCAGCTCTCAGGATGAGGCCACGTGTATGTTTGTACAGCTTACATCAGAAAATCTCGTAATTAATGTGGTACTGACTGTAGACAAGAAAGGGTTTTGCCTTGGTAAAGGGGCAAAATCACCTGCCAAAGGCTGTGTAGGTCACACCTAACTAAGCTTACAGGACACACAGAAACAAATTATGTCCAAGAAACTTAGCCTACGAGAACAAAGCTTATTAGTACCTAATAAGGTAAAATTCATGATTTCTAGAATTCATGAAAATATTACAAGGAATGCAAAGAAGGAGGGCAATGTGATACAAAATGAGGGAGAAAAAAAATCAATCAAAACTGAGAAGTGTTACCTATTAGATAAGGATCTAAATATTAAACAGAAACATTCTGCTGGAAGATAAAATATATAAAACTCTTAAACACATACGCATAGGCAAGGACTTTCTGAATAGAACTTCAATTGCACAAGAAATAATATCAAGAATGAACAAATGAGGGCCGGGGATTTAGCTCAGAGGTTTCGCTCCCTGCTGTGCAAGCACAAGGACTGGAGTTTGTTCCCCGGTACCAAAAATCCCCAAAAAACAAAGAATGAACAAATGAGATTATATCAAATTAAAAAGCTTTTGCATACCAAAGGAAACAAATGACAGAGTGAAGAAAGAACCTACAGAATGGAAAAAATTTTTTGCCAATTACACCTTGGAGAGAGAACTAATATCTGGAATATACAAAGAATTAAAAATTAGACTTCCCCCCAAATAAAAGAAATAATTAAAAAATGGGCAACTAAATGAATAAACACTTCTTAGCAGAAGTACAAATGGCCAATAAACACATGAAAAAATGTAAATGATGCTGGTCATTAGAGAAATATAAATTAAAACAACACTGAGATTCCATCTTATTCCACAAAGAATGGCAAACCTCAAGAAATCAAAGAATAACATGTTGGCAAGGCTGCGAGGATAAAGGAATCTTTCTAAATTGTTGCTAAGCACCATGATAATCAGTAAGGAGATTCCTTAAAAACTAAAATAGAAATTCCATTCGACACAGGTAGGACTAGGGAACTTCTAGGTATCTTCTCAAAAGAGTTAAAGACATCATACCCCAGTGATGTATGCATACCCATGTTTATAACAACACAACTCATAGTAGCTAAATCTTGGAAGCAACCTGTATGCCCATCAACAAATGAATGGTAACAAATGATAAAGAAAATGTGGAATTTGTGCACAAAAGAGTACTACTCTACCATAAAGAAAGGTAAACTTGAGTCATTTGTAGGAAAATAGATGCACCTTGAGACCATAAATTTAAGTGAAATAAATCAGATACACAAGCTTAAATATCATCATATGGTTTTTCTTATATGAGAAACCCAAAATATAAATAAAAAGCAAAATAAAAGATAACAGGAAGCAGGGAGACAGATCTTTCTCAAAGGGGAAGGGAATGAAGAGATGAAGGGGAGGAAGAGGGAGGAGGGGGAAGAGGATAGAAAAAGGAATTAAGGTGTGTTATGTACATTCAGCAACTTCTCATAATGAATGTAATCATTATGTACTACAAACATGTACTAATAAAAATTTAAATTGTTTAAATATTTTTAAAAACTGAGAACCTGAGAAGAAATAGGTAAATTAGCAGTGATAGCCAAAGAATTCAATATTCTTCTCTCAATAGTTGAGAGACAAGTGGGAAAAAAAATCAGTAAACATATAATAAGATTTGAATATCTATTAGTTAATATTAATTAGAACATTCAAAAATAGCCAAGTACACATTCTTTTCAAGTGTATACAGAACTTTTACAAAGATAAACCACATTCAGGGTACTAAGACAAATTTCAAAAAATATAAAAAGATTCAAGTCATACAAATATCTTAACTACAGTAGAATAAAAATTTTAATTAAAAAAATAAGATACCATAAAATCCCCAATATTGCAAAACTAAATGAAACATTTATAAATAAACTGTTGAGTCAAAGGAAAAAATAAAAACCTATCAGAAATTTCCAAATGAAGGAAGATATATCTAAATTATGGGATAAAAAAATGGTAGAGAAAAATTGACAGCACTGCAATGCCTATATTAGGAAGACGAAAGGCCTCAAATAAATGACCTTATTTTTCACCTTAAGAAACTAGAAAACTTGAAAAAGACAAGAAAATATGTATTTGTTAAAAGAATTGCATTCATAATGTATGAAGACTCTCCAAATCTCAAGATGACAAACTAACCAACTAAAAAGTTGGAAAAAATTTGGATACATCACTTAAGAAAATATGGGGATGATAAATATGCATGTGAAAAGATGCTCAACATCATCAATAATTAGAGAAATGCAAATTAAAACTATACTTCAGGAAGAACTAGGACCCAAGTATTCCCCTGCTGGGTATCTTCCCCAAAGAATTAAAAGAATCATACCACAGTGATATATGTTCACCTATGTTCATACCAGCACAGTTTGTGATAGCTAAAACTTGGAAGCAGCCTAATTGCCCATCAACTGGAGACTGGATCAAGAAAATGTGGTTTTTGTATAAAATGGAGTACTACTCAGCCATAAAAAATGAGAAATTAGAGACATTTAT